AAATCCTAAATATATTCAGTAAAGGTGGAAAAAAATTATCCATAATTAGCTCTTTGTTTGTATTAAGCAGAGTTGATAAATAGAGCAACAATTCATTCAGCAATGATGAAGGTCAGGAAGTATCTTGAAGTATCTTGAATGAAGGTCAGAAAGTCAGGAAGACTCTTTCATTTAGTGACTGGGATCTTGGAGACAAAGCAGATAGACAGAACACCTAAATTACAGTTTCAAAATTTAAATCTTGATTTTGAACAATAGAGCATTAACTGGAAAAGTCATTCTCCATGTCCTAAAATCTGCAGCTGTGGGTAGGAGAGTTCCCCCACTTTATAACAAATCACACCATAATGGAGTTTCTTATAAAACTACGCAACAGTACCAACTGCTGAAACTTGAATAGAGCTGTAAGGGTGACAACTTTATTAGGATACAGACCTTAATTCCAGGCGGCAAATAAAAAACAATTTCTAGTTTTGTATAGCTCCATTAATAGAATGACTTCAACAGAACCCACTGAAATCACATAGCTGACACGGAAATGCTATTTTCCCAAGGAAGCCTGTATTTTAATCCTTAAGTGAAAATGAAAAAGGAAGCTGCATTATTTGCCTTCTGTTTTAATCTTTTCATGTTTCAGAACAGTAATTAGTTTGGATGGCTCGGGACTGAAACCATTGCAAGAGTGACTATCAATAACCTATTGACATACCTGTATGATATTTAATTTATATTAGCATTTAAGGCCATGGAAAAATAACAACTCTTTGTTAAAAACTACAATTACTATGTGTACTTATTCCATAATTCTTTTGCCTAAAGGACACCACTGTCATGCCCCAAATTATACCAGTAAATTGTATTTTTTACTGGCTCTTGAGCTTTAGCCCTTCATCTCTCACCCTTCAGACAAGCACGCATCTTGCAGCAGATAACAATTTTTTGTATGTATTTAGATCACATCTGTAACAAGGGTCTGCTGTGCAGGACGGAGCTGTTGAGAAGGCCAATGCAACTATGCCAGTCCCTGCCTGCAAAGGAGCCTGCCATCTCCTTGCAGGAGCATCACGACTTGGGCCCGGCTGGGTGGTACTACTACTGCTCTTTGTCATAACATAATCCTATTTTTAGGCAGCTAGTAAATATTGGGAGCTATGTACTGGGAAGTATGCCTGTATAACAGAAGGCACTCACGGTGCACACAAACAGTTTTACACATTCTTGGGTGCCATCTCCTGCCACTTCATACCTGTGTGCTATTGACAACCAGTTGATTACACAGCCCTTCAGTACCTGTGTGAGGGGATTAAAGTGCAAGTGGAGCTACGCGGTGTGTCTGGGCACGAGCAACAATCCTTGATGGGCTGCTTGGTGCAGAGCTGGGCTGGCCTTTCCTCTGCAGCTGCCCCACAGGTAAGATCTCCCAGCCCTGGAGCTTGGTGACAAGACCCTGGAGCAGACCCAAAGGAGTTTGCTTATGTCGTTCAGAGCCAGCCCTGAGTTACTAGTCTTGACAGAAGTAGCCAACGGTGTCGTTTGGTGTCTCCTGCTGTATGTTTCTCTGCACGGTCCATGGCAGCTGCATTATCTGGTTTTACAACCACCCTGTTCCTCTGGGTAAGTATAACCATGACGCTTACTGGGATGACACCGAACTGCTCTGCAAATACAGCCGCTTAGCAGGAACAGCCTGTCTGCAGCCAGAGTCCTTCCAACAGGAAGGCGTAACGGGGAATGGGGAAGACGAAAAGCTGCATATTAGCAAGAGTGAGTGTTGTGAACTGAATGTAATGCCAACTTGTCAGCTAGTTTGTATGAGGAGTGAGGGACACTTCATGTAACTCCTGACCAGTGAGAATCTTTCTGCAGACAGATGGAAGGACTTTTGGAATTGCATTATCCCAATTCGGGCATCTCTAAGTCATAAAAGATTAACTTGCTCCTGGGATCCCATTAGTGGGAGCAAGGGGATCAGTCAAGCACTTTCCACCCTCCTTATTACATAGGAAAAGCTTAAATCAAAAGGGTGGCCCAAGCCAGATTGAGTGGTTCAGCCCACCATCATGTAAGTGTATATGCTCTGTATCTGTTCCAAATATTAACCATATAAACAGCTGCAAAAGCCTGATGAAGTTACAGTTTAAATGTTTAACAGTTTGATAGCTCTTAGTTAAGGTGCCACACAATCTTATTTAATAAGGCTTGACATGTAATTTTCAGCTGTGATAAATTCACTAAAGCCTGACTAAGGGACATGTAGGCCTATTTCACTGTATCATCTAAATGGCTGGCTCCTGATTTACAGTTCTAATTCTATGAAAATATCAAGATTATATCTTGACTCTTGTTTATTCCACCACTCTGGAAAAGTCTAACTCCATCTAAAGTTTCAGGAGCCCTCTTTGGAGACTCTTCAGGCAGTTGCACAAAACTCTATAGCACAACACACTCAGCTGCTCAGCAAGTGTCTTATTCTACTGCCATTACTTTATCAACAAGTTAATTTCTGAAGTTATTGGTAAAATTAAACTAACTTAATTTACTCAATTTTCCCACCATTCTTGGTTTTAGTAATGTTTTAATAGTTGCAGAAAGAATAAAAGGTGGTTCAGACAGGAAGCTGGTCTTTGTCCCTTTCCTTGAAGCACTGAGGGACTTTTTACAGAGTCATGTAGTGATACGACAAGGGGTAATAGCTTCAAAGTGAAAGAGGGTAGATTAGATATAAGATTAGATTAGATTAGATATAAGGAAGAAATTCTTCACTATGAGGGTGGTGAGGCACTGGAACAGGTTGCCTGGAGAAGTTGTGGATGCCCCATCATTGGAAGTGTTCAAGGCCAGGTTGGACGGGGCTTTGAGCAACCTGGTCTAGTGGAAGGTGTCCCTGCCCAGGGCAGGGGGCTGGAACTAGGTGATCTTTAAGGTCCCTTCCAACCCAAACCATTCTATGATTCTATGAAGTTGCAGGCTGAATTAATAGGACACTCCAAGAAAGCGAGTGAGAGCCCATGTCTTCTTGCCTGTACAGTACTTAGAAGAATACTGCAGAAATGCTAGTTGTCATTCTACATTAATAGTTCTGTCTATCCCGACACAGGCACCAAGATTCTCTATCAGTACTGGGAAGCACAGACCTTCATGTGGTAGGAGCTTAGAAACGTGATGTCTGCCCATAACTCCCAGCTTAAAATAGCCAACATTGCCAGTAGGCCCACACACTGCTGCAAGAGCCACAGATGGCTGTGCGCAAAGAACCCCCGGCTGTTGGCCAGGAGTGAGGAACAGGAGGACAGCTAGACCAACCTTCTAGCGTTTTGTGATGCCCCTGTAGGTCACCTCACTGGTAGGGAATAACAAACCACAGAGCATCTTGAACACAGGAGAAATCTTTGTCATAGCTGTCTTTGTTCTTCATTATTTGTTTCTAGTCCCATTAGCTTAGTCATTTTGCTTAAGGAGTCACAATTATTGAAAAGACTGGTTTCAGGCCAGCTGCTGCAGGAAAAAGAGGTCAGAGAATCATTACAGAAGGCATCAGGAGTTGCATAAAGCAGAATGCTCCTCAGACTGTTAAAAACAGATTAATAACTTTTTAAAGTAGGTAGTCTTACTAGGCTCTTAAATAAGGATGCCTGTTTCAGATTTGCTTCTGTAATTTGTATCATGTTCATTCCCAAGGGCCAACTCAAACTATTGCCTTGTTTTCCCAATTAGGTAAGATTCTTTCCATTTCAATTATCCCACAACTAACTGGAAGTCTAGAAGCAATATCATGTTTACATCTTCTAAGCCTCATTGCTATCAGACGACACACACACACAGCCCTCATTATCCATATTACAGCTTTATGCTGCTTGTACACTAAGTATTATGAGATGGTATCAGCAAAATGTCGCTTAAAGATTGTGCACCGAAAGGGAATATGCAACACTAGGTGTTAAAAAATGAATAAACAGGGAAAGTACCTGCCTTTGCCTATTTAGAGCATCCATTTTATACAGCAAACTTATATATAACATATTAGTTATATGTGTGCTTAGGTAAACCAAGCTGACAAGAATATAAACTTGCAATGACTTAGTCTGCAATCACATTTTCATGATTTACACAACTACGAACAGTGATTCAAGCTTGTGACTCTCGAAATGACAGAACTAGACTAATTTACCTTGGCAATACAGGAGCATGAACAACATTCTTCAGGTGATATGCAGAGATAATTTCATTATTGACAACTTTCTTCATTTGTTGCTCTGTGTACATGTACAGAACCCAAAGATTTGTTACACCGTATTTATGCATTTTCAGTATCAAAGATGTAATCTGTATCATTCATTATCTATATGACCACTTTCAAAAAGCACAAATGACAAAAATCACACAGTAATGCAAAAAATATATTCTACAGAGTCTAATTGAAATAAACTTTTATTTTTTTTCTCATCTGGCTTAATCAGAAGCTGGTTTGCTCAGGAAGCTCAATAAGTTAAATCTAAAGCCTTGTTTATAACTGTGCTGGCCTTTTTCACAGTGTCTGGGTACAGCTGTACGTGGTGTGATACTGTCACACCATTACCTAGCAGTTTAACACACAATATCTATATATAAAAAAATTAAATATTGAGTATCACTATATACAACTGAGGCTTGAAGCACCATCTAGCTGGAGATGGACAGAACTAAAAGACCACCAAGTAGCTAAATAAAACTAGCTGATTATACTTTAAAACGTTGTTATGACCCAGAATATTGGGTCATTTCTAACCATACTGCAGTGTGGTTGCAATATTTCTAGGAATAAAATCAGCAATTAATATTTCTGAGCTGCCAAAGTCATGCTTGAATGTACTGATTGTGAATGTACTGGTTACTTACTAGGAGCACACCAAAGGTGCAGTGGCATCCCCCTTGGTTAAAATGAGTCAGCACAACTGCCTTTGCAGAGGGTTCTTGAACAGTTCATATCCATCCCCACATTGCTAACCATTTGGAAACTTTATCTAATTAAGTTTCTTTTCAGTTGTCCTCATTAACAAGTGGACACAGTACGGAACCAAGGCAACTACAGTCAGAGGCACAGCTGCACTCTTACAAAACGAGAGAATGTAGAACAAATACTCAATATGAGTAGGTATCTTAACGAAATTATACAGCTGCAGTGTAGCTAAAGAAGCAGCTATACACAATATGCGGAAACTCATCTTACAGCTGTTTTTACCTTTGCAGCTCATGCTGAACATTTCCGAATTAATTCCGAGACCTAAGCCAAAGAGTGCACCTAAATTCCTCACCAGTCCAGCAAATGGAGTTGTGTCAATGTTTATCCAGTCTGGGTTGGCACACCACTTCTTGGCCTTTGGAACAGACCATAGCAAGTCAATATCAAGAAGCTTAAGGACTAGATAAAAGCCAAGGGCAAAGATGAAAAGAAACAAGTTTGTCTTGATGTACATTCTCAAGCTTGCTGTCTGAATAGCAGGGGTATGCTCAAATGCTTCTGCCACAAGAATGCCTGCGGATTAGAAACTCAGTGTTACAGGAAACAACACACTCATACTTTGAAGAAGCACTTTTTACAGTGCCCCTGTAGAATTTGACTTTTGAAGACAGAATAACACATGTATGTATTTTTTTAATATATATATGTATATATACAGACACACACAATTTACCCCTTCTGTAGTACATTGCAAAACCTGTTCTCCCACTCAAAACTGCTAATTTGTAAAAAAAGAAATTACATACCAAGCACTACACGTTTTTGGTATGAGGCATGCCTTAGGCCTGACAGAATTCCCCAGATGACAACCTATCAAATATTAGATGTAAACTAGAACATTCCTTTTTCCCAAGAGTCCTCCACTCAAAGACTGGCCCCAGCAATGCAGAATTCAATACCAGTTCCCACAGAGGCTTTGAGTGTTGAAGGAAAAGACACAGAACACACTTACCTTCTTTCTTACTCATTTTATCCTGGTTGTGAAAAGGGAGAGCTGGACTGCAAGCTGTTAGCCAGTCCTGCCCAGGCTGCTCTGCATCCATGAAAGAGAGCAGGAGCAGACAGCCCCTGCTCAATGCTCCGCTCACCCTCCTTAAAATCAGATAGCTACTAGAGAGATTGCTCATAGTTTCAACTCCCTAAATACCAATCTGAAACATGTTTAAGCAACTCTGAGAAACGTACTTTAGCTTCTTAAACCACCCTGGGGAGTTTGCACTGCTAATCTGCCTTTTTCTCTGTTTTGCCCCAGGTCTCTGGCCCTGTGCTTGTCCACACTGGTACACATGCTAGTTTGCGCCAAGACACCATTTGAAGTGAACCAAATAGCTTCGTCCTGAGGGGAAAGGTCAGGGCCATATAGGAGAAACTTCCTCTCTGATCCCTTCCAAACAGGCAGCAGATAAAGATCAGATGCAGCCAGTACAAACCAGACAGCATCAACTGGCACACAGAGAAGCACTCACTCCCTGTGTGAATTACAAAGACAACAGACACATACTGCCTCACTAATTTTACCTTTTGACTATCATCAAATCCTTGATCTTCCAGAGAGCGGAGAGCACCACTACAGCTGCAAGCTGAGTAGCACTACTAAAAATCTCTTGCCTTTTCTCATACTTAATTTTTTTCAGATTTTGAATATATGTTGAAAATAAAGGAAAACATAGCAGCATTACCAGCAAATACTCCAAGAATAACTTGATGAGGGAAATGTGTTGCTATGAATACTCTTGAGATGCACACACTGATCTGGATAATCCAAAAAATACTCCAGAGGAATGACCACGTCAATCTAAGAGGGAAAAGGAAGACGCTTAAAAATTAAGACAAGATATAATCACCTAGTAATTTACATCAGGCCCCTTTGCGTCAGCCTCATATTTTTACCAAGAATAGGTTTACAAGTAGATAAGTTTAGAATCAGATTATTAAAAACTGGAAGTCAGGACTAAACCATTAGAATAGAATAGAATAGAATAGAATAGAATAGAACAG